TGGTTAACAGAAAATGGATGTCCATTGGACATCCATATAAAGTTCATGGACATCCAGGACATTATTTGGACAAAATATGGACGTCCAATGGACGTCGTGTGCTGTCTGGGTACCGAGGAAATCATTAAAAAGGGCCAAGACATGATTGTCGCAGATTGCCGAACGAAAGTGCGAGAAGTAGCAGAGGCCGTAGGCGTATCATACGGAACAGCAATTAATATTTTGCATGATAAGTTAAACATGAGAAAGGTTAAATAAGCCGATATGGCTATCAATATCGAAGCAGTGTTGAGTTTTTGCATCGAGTCGTCACCGTTGATGAAACTTGGATACATTTTTATACGCCAGAGACCAAACGACAGTAAAAGCAATGGATTTTTCGGGGTGAATCTGCTCCGAAGAAAGCAAAGAGGTCCTATCGGCCGGAAAGATCATGGCCACGATTTTTTGGGATTCCAAGGAAATAATCCTTATCGAATTTTTGAAGAAAGAAAGTATGGTCACAGAGGAGTACTATAGTGAATTATTGGACCGATTCGATGCAAAATTGAAGGAGACACGTCCTCATTTGGCTAAGAAAAAAGTCCTGTTTCACCACGATAACGCACCAGCACATTCATCGAGAATTGTCGCGGTCAAACTGCAGTACGAATTGCTGCCGCACCCACCGTACTCGCCCGACTTGGCTCCATGCGACTTTTTTCTATCCCCCAACATGAAAACGTGGCTTGGGGAAAAAAATTCAGCTCTAACGAGGAGGTTATCGTCGAGACTGAAGCGTATTTTGCGGAGTTCGAGAAATCATATTTTTTTGGAGGAGTTAAATAAATTGCAGAAACGTTTGGAAAAGTATTTTTTTTGAAAAACTTGCCTCTTTGTTTCTAACACGGGTACTTTTTGATCCACCCTCGTATATATAACGTAAAAAAATACGTGATATTGTCGCCACACTCATGACGTCTCTGAGACGTCATTTTTAGGTGATATGGCGTCCGAGACTAATTATCACCAAAAAATAACGTCGCAGTGACGTCAGTGTACTAGCTGGGTATTATCCTATAAATGTTACGTTTCGTTAACAGTTGGAATAGTACAAATTATGCTTTAAAACTAGCGATACAACATAAATACAACAATTGAAAATACAGACAGTAGATACATTATGGAAATGGATCATTCATCGGTTCCAAATTTTACTTTCGGACCAACACACCGTTATACTACTGGAATAGTGTTTTCTTTTATTACTACAAGTTGACTCACTTTCGAGGCTTAGCCATTTTTGGAAGTTTTTCATTTGAAGCAAATTTTAATGGACTAATATACTCCTTGTTCCATCTATCCCAAAAATGTTGCTACGTTTTCTTTTTATATGTCGATACAATCTCGATTTTCGGGAATACCCTTTAAGTCAGTATGCGGGATAGCGTGGAGGGAGTTGGCATTGTAACGGCCTGTCCCCAGTACCCCCTATTTGTTTGTTATTTTACTCTCAAATGTTATTATTTACCAAGTTTTACTTTAAATTTATACTGTATTTGGCCTTTTTCCTCTAGTAGTAAAAGTGATCGTCTAGTTAATTAATTGATAAATTATATACCCACGTTGTGATAATGTTAATTACGGTTAACCAGGATTCGATGCAAAGTTTATTGCAAATTAATAAATAAAACCAGACAAATTTATATATAAACTTTTTTATTTTTCATACTACAAATGTGATGCAATAATTTGCAAAGTATATTACAATTGGTACTATTTACTGAGATCTCACTTGAGTCCCGTTCAAACTCAGACCATATTCATTTGCTATCAATATATATTGCTACCTACTTTCTGTGCCTAAGCACCTGAGGTGGGATTTATGTCAATCCAAAGTTGGATGCCGACTAACTACAGTGAAGAAGGGGGTGAGTCGTAGAAAAAGTTATGTTCTTCAGTGGGCGCCAGAAGTTTAACCTCACATCCAACAATCCATGTGACAGTTCACTACCAAACTCCAAATAGGAAACTATAGCATCTCCTCTACAATATTATCAAGCGGCTACAAATCGAGTATACTCCTAATATATTATAAGTGTACTTTACCATAAAAATAAATGCTCAACGGATGTTTACAAATCAAACAGACAATTAGCAAGTGGGATAAATAATAAGTAAAGTTCAATATATACCCAAGTTTAATAATATAAATAATTAATCATGTTGACATGGGGGGTCAACTTCGTTACCACTATAAAATGTACTAATATTTACAAAATTAAATAACAATTAAGTCACTTAGTATATTACTAACGGATTCCCCAACTATTAACAGTAATCCAGTATCACTGGGAGTAATATTTACAACTAAAATACTATATCAAGCTTAAAAATCATTAAATGGGACTAAGGGTAATCGTAAAACTATAACACATGAAGTGTATACTGTATTTATCAAAGAAAACAAATAATAGTGTACTCTTTACGGATGCTAGGGGTAAAAACAAGTAAAACTCTATTACTTATTAAAAATATAGTTACCCATCAGTAATATAACCCACGGAGAGCTCTTGGTGAAGTGTTTCGGGTTTAATAAAAATGTACTGTGAACCCATAAACCTCGTTTACATTAGGTTTAGATAAAATTATATACTAATAACACCCCCTAATAAAATAGATTAAATAGTAATAAGTAATATAAAAAAAATAAGATAGCAAAACTTGCGGTACACTGTGTCTTCTTCCCAGTAGACGTTGATGTCTCTGCTTCGTTAGCAGCATACGAATCAATCAGCTGGTCACAAGATGTGCTAGTCAGCCCGTCACAAGAATACTAGCCCGTCACAAGAAGTGTTGGCCCTTCACAAGAACTACTGGCCCGTAACAAGAATTGTTGGCTGTCACAAGTATTGATAGCCCGTCACAAGAATACTGGCCCGTCACAAGAATACTGGCCCGTCACAAGAAGTGTGTGCCCGTCACAAGAACCCTAAAGAAAACGTGTAAGATAAAACACAGAAATAACTATTTATCCCTGGTTAATAAGAAGTTAAAATTAAGTAACCAGGTACCTACATAGCCTTCTCGTGAAGCGAGGTCTAGAAATAGGTAATAACTACTCAACGTTTACTAGTTAATTAAAGTTCGGCTTATCAATTTATGTAGGTAATCTTCAGATTTACAAAGTAACAGGATAGACGGCTCGTGAAGCGAGTTCTACCCAACAATTACATTTAATAAGCAAATTACACTCTTAGATTTCAAGATACTACCCCTAATAGTTCATCCTATATACTGAAAATATATACAATGAAAAGAATATAACCTAGGGTTAGGTCTGAGTAAGCATTCTAACTAAAATCAAAGCATATTTACCCCTTTTTTTAATCCACAGAGGAGGAACAAACTATGCACCAGATCAGCTTGGAACAGCAAATTCGTGAACGACTTATTCAGAAAGACTATATGTGAACACTGAAATAAAAAAACTAAGGTCTTACAAAAGAATAACTACGCCGTAACTTGAAATACTGTGTAGGAAAAACTTACCTATGAGATGCAACACGTGGTTAAATATATCTTCCTAAGAGCTCCTACAACATGTGATCACAAAAAAAAATACTACCAAATCCACACTGTTGTTACTTAAAACAAAAAGGTTGCTTCGCAATATCTTAAATGGATTGAAACGACTTCCAATAAATTTCGAAACAATACCTTCCAAATCAAAAACCTAGTGTCGAATAATAATATCGAAAAATCCAGAAAGAGAAGACGGAACAACGTTATTTGACATCTCCCAAACCAGTAATACCAACATACCTTAGTGACAGATAGGTGTCCCATCAGCGCCCTCTATTACGAAATAAATTCTTGACAGAGAGGGCTAAAATAAGCAAACAAAGCCTCTAAAACGAAATAAACATCCTAACTAAACTCAAATAGAGGTCCTATCTACCCCAAACTGATCATATACTCACAATTAACGACAGGACGGAAACGCTAGACCGACATCTTGAATACAGGGCAGCCACATGCTCACATATAGTGTCACAGAAGGACCGCTCTGTGCACAGTGGTTAAAAATGCGGGTATAGAAGGACCCATTAAATAATTATTGAACACGGATAAAAACTAGTGTATTCTTATTTTTATGAAAAACCGCTATAAGGCCAAATTTAAACATTACAATATCTTATTTAGGTTGATGACCAACGGAGTTAACGAATAGCGTCAACTCGCCAGTTGGTTAACTACTGTGTTTATGTTTATTTGATTTTATTCTAGATATACACAGGTTGTACCCTCTTAGGTAAATATATCGACGAGTATAGAGGTGATGACCAACGGAAGTTACGAAAAGCGCCAATTCGCCAGTTGGGTAACTTACTGTTAAATTTTACCATCTTAGTTTGTACAATTTATCCAAGATAGAACATTACTGTATATTTCTAAAATATTGATTTTTATAAATTCTGTTAAAATCACTGAATAAAACCCTGTATATTTCTTAATATTGATTTTTTTATAATTTCCATTGAAATTACTTAATACAACCCTGTATATTTCATTTCTTAATATTGATTTTTATAATTTCTAATTAAATACTCTAAATGCACCCATCGAAAACAGATGTTATCCTAACTGTCTTTCGGGGTGTATGACCTAAAGGCCATGTGGCTTATTATTTACAATAATAACATTTTAAAACAAATATCAGACGCTACGTTTAAACGAAACCTCGGTGGTATATCAAAAAAAAGTTATATAAATCTTCTCACACCATTGAAAATACAGACATTAGATTATGTACTAAGTTCATCTAGCGTTGTGACGGCGTCGATTTAGGTGGAAAGGAAATTATTTAATACGGTACTGTATTGGGACAGATATACGGTAATTATACTTCGATAGCCACGTCCTTCAAGATCACACTGTAGTTTATGTCTCTTGCTCGTTTCTTGCGTATTTTCAAAGATTTCTGAATCACCCAACCTACCTGCCGAAGCTAACCTGTTTCTTTATCACTATGTTTCATACGCTCGTGTAGTGATAAGTGCGAAATTTATTGTGAGTTGATTTATACCAGGAATTTATAAAAAAAAAATGCCGAACAATAAAAAACGGAAAATAGATGATTTTAAAAATAAAATTAAGAGAAAAATGAGGAAACTGGAACGAATGTTGGATATATCAAACAGTAAGTAAACATATATTTTTTAATTTGTATATTAAATATTAGGTTAGGCCACCGCAGTGTAATAACTTGGGGTGTGGCCTAACAGGCAGTATAATAACTCCCTAAAATAAAAGGCTGTAATATAATAATAAAAATGTTTTATCAATACAGAGTAATATCTTTTTGATAAACGGCAGTAAACAGATAATACTGTTATATTGAGTAACGTCAATATTTTCAGTAGGGAAAAAATAAAATGATAGCCATTACAAAAATGTTTAATTAATACAGGGTAATACCTTATCGATAAACAATAATTGTAAATAAATAATAAAATAAATTGGTAGCTATTTAACGTTTAATTAATACAGGGTAATACCTTAGTGATAAACAATAATTGTAAATAAAAATAAAAGAAATCGGTCCCCATTTCATTTTTATTTAATACAGGGTAATACCTTATTGATAAACCATAATTGTAACTTGATAATTTTGAGTAACATCAGTATCTGCTATTGAAATAAATAGGGTCATTTCTCTTAATAGGTGAAAGTGACTCATCAAAAAGTGAAGATTCAGTCAGTTCTTCTAGCGACGAATCCCAAGATTCAACACAGGCTGTTATTAATACAAACATGGCTGATACAATCGAAAATTCTTTAGAAAATATTTTGGGTTCACATCCCGATGAAGAAACCACCAAAGGTCCAGAAATTGCAGTAGATTTAGCAAAACGATGGGAGTCAGTTCTTTCTTCACGACTAGATAAGGATGTGAGGCAAAAACTAATGGACAAATGGCAGGCACCTCAAAACTGCCAAGGTTTAAATGCTCCTAAGCTCAATCCGGAAGTTCAGTCGATTATATCAGCAACTGATGCAAAGAAAGACAAATTTCTACAAAACATTCAGGACTTAATGGGGAAAGGCATAACCGCTCTTGTAGTTGCAATATCTCTCGTCCTGCCACAACGTGAGACAGTGAGCCCAGAAGCAACTCAAGCGATGGTGGACGCAGGAAAACTTCTCACAGACATGTTCCATACTATTTCCAACCACAGAAAATATCAAATTAATAATAATTTTAATGTTAATGTACAAAAAATCAGCCATCAACAAAAGATCGATAAGTACCTATTTTGAGTAGATTTTGCGGAGCAATGTAAATCTGCAAAAACGGTAGAAACGACGGCCAAAGAACTCCTAAAAAGCAGAGAACCTCAATCCTCTACCAATCATTTAAACTACCAGTGACCTATATGCAAGAAGAGATTGAAACCAGAGGGAAAAAAGGGAGGGGAGAACAGAAGTCAATTCAAACAGCAAAGAAGGACCCTAAGAGAGTGGAAACAACACCCCTACAAAAAACAACCGGACTACAGGAAATACCGGAGCAAGGATCACCGATAGAGGTAAGTTATGCGGGAAGAATAAAAAACTTCTTGCATAACTGGAAATTATTAACAAATGATAAAACTATCCTTAGCTGGGTCAGAGGGTATAAATTGCCATTTTGCAGACGACCCAGACAGAGACAAGTACCAAAACTTAATTTTTTGCCAAAATTTTAAAAAAGTATAAACGAACTCTTAAAAATAGGGGCAATCGTTAAAAGTACTCACTGTAAAGGGGAATTTTTATCGTCATATTTTTTGAGGATCAAACCAAATGGCAAACATAGGTTTATCCTTAATCTAAAAAAACTTAATGAATATCTAACTTGTTCTCATTTTAAAATGGAGGATTATAGAACGGTAAAAAACCTCATTTACAAAAATTGTTTTATGGGTTCATTGGATTTGAAAGATGCATACTTTCTAGTACCAATTGAAAAAAGATCGAAAATATCTAAAATTGCAATATAAAAATCAGCTTTTTGAATTTACTTGTTTGCCATTTGGAATGTCTATGGCCCCATATGTTTTTACAAAATTGTTCAAACCGGTGGTCAATCATTTACGATCAATGGGTCTAACCTCAGTAATTTATTTGGATGATATCATTCTGTTTGGGGAAAATAAACAAAAATGTAGGGAAAACATTGATTATTCTTTAAAACTTCTATCTTCTAAATATTTAGGATATATTTTTGATAGTAAAAAAATGACAATTTCATTTCCAGAAGAAAAAAGACAAAACATTTCATCCTTGGTAAATCAAATTAGGGTAAAAAGAAAAATCAAAATTAGGGCATTTGCTAAATTTATAGGCACACTAGTTTCAGTTTGTCCAGCTGTTCCCTATGGGTGGGTCCATATCAAACACTTCGAGAGGCAAAAATAAATTGCACTTCAAAGGAATAGAGGGAACTATGACAAAGAAATGAATTTACCGGAACACCTTATAACTGATTTTCAGTGGTGGTTTGAAAATATATCACAAGCAGAGACTAGCATTACAGAGATATCTTACGAATTTACTATCTATTCGGATGCTAGTAATTCTGGCTGGGGCGCTTTTTGCGAAAATCAAATATCACGGGGGTTCTGGAACCAACAAGAAACTTCTCGCCATATTAATTATTTAGAACTTTTAGCTGCGTTCAACGGCCTTAAGTCTTTTGCCAAAAATCATAGTAATTGTAATATACTACTTAGAATCGACAACATTACAGCAATTGCTTACATAAATAGGTTTGGCGGAATAAAATTTCATGAATTAAACGATTTGACTCGGAAACTTTGGGAATGGTGTGAGAAGCGTAAAATCACAGTATTTGCGTCATACATAAATACGAAACAAAATGTGATAGCAGATGCGGAATCGCGACAGAAAAATATTGAAACTGAATATTCTTTACATTTACACTGCTTTAATAATATCAAAAAATTGCTGGGTACACCTGAAATTGACCTATTTGCTTCATATGAAAACAAAAAATGTAAGATATTCGTTTCTTGGCATCCAGACCCAGAGTCATGTGCTGTAAATGCTTTTACAATAAAATGGTCAAATACGTTTTTTTATGCTTTTCCACCATTTCCTCTGTTGCCCAGAGTTCTTCATAAAATTATAGCCGACAAGACAAAGCTTTTAAAAGTGGAATATCAATAGACAATATAAGGCGCGCAGCAGGATGGAGCGAAAAATCTAACATGTTTAACAAATTCTACAATAGATCTTTATCAGAAGATACTACTTTTGCCAAAATGCTCACAAATAATACCAAGAAGTAATACTAAATAAATATTAATTTAGATTACAGCATTATGGTTCTAAGCAGCTGTGTTTAAGAAATATTTACAAATAATATTGTAAAAATGTTGTTAAAACATATGTCTATTATATTTAAGTATACAAAATTACAATTTTTTTTTCTTTTCCAATATAGTGCTGTAAGATATTAAAATATATTTTTAAGTGTCATTCAAATTTATTTATATTTATTTAAAATTACCTATTGATTGACAATTAATCAAAATTATTTACAATTTATGTTATTAATAAATAATTGACAAATTCACAAATTATATTATTTGTTTTTTATATGTTCATAGATCGCTGTTTAAGTCTTTGAACATCTACAGTGTGATCTTGAAGGACGTGGCTATCGAAGTATAATTAGAGGTTAAACGACTTACCTAAGGAAGTTCAATCCTCAATTATACGAGTTAGCCACGTCCAAAAAGATCACACTCCCACCCACCTCTTATTACTTACCCAAAAAATTAAACAGCGATTCAGTAGCTAAATAAAACATAATGATAAGGAAACAGGTTAGCTTCGGCAGGTAGGTTGGGTGATTCAGAAATCTTTGAAAATACGCAAGAAACGAGCAAGAGACATAAACTACAGTGTGATCTTGAAGGACGTGGCTATCTCGTATAATTGAGGATTGAACTTCCTTAGGTAAGTCGTTTAACCTCTAAAATTATTTAGGCGGTGCGGGACGTGACGAAGGGTGTCGACAAGGATATTATGAAAGAAATATTTAAGGACGGCAAGCGTCGGGAAATAGGCGTGAGACGTTGACAGCGTTCAGAAAATAGGAGATATTACAGAATAGACGTTGTTTAGAAAGAACGTTTTAGGAAAGGTACTGACTACTGAACTTGAAATATAACTGGATACAAATAATAAATTAATGCTTGCACATCAAATAATAAAAAATTAATGAATACGAGCTCCTTTGGGTCAGACTTCTTATACTAAGTTTAATGGCTTTTTGTGACCTCTCTGTGTCTTTAGTTCCCAGCGAAATAGTAATGTGGGTGCAAAGGGGCTGGCTTATTTATTATGTGCTTTGAGATCTTTGTGTATCGAAATCGGTATTAACATTGAAACTAGAAAGATAAGCGAGTTAAGTGTTTTTATGATGGTTACTTCGTGAAAAGAAATATGTTTTATTATCTAGGTTCCCAGACACGTACACGAAATTTGGAACTTTTACGGACGTGGTTATAGATATTATTTATTTAATTTAATTATCTGAGAGATTTTCGTTAAATGAAGGATTTTGAATTTAATAAGAATGCAATATTATATTTAATAAATGGAATTAATAAATTATTAAGGTACCTAGGTGCAGTAGGTTACGGCGTTAGGAAACAAAATTAAGTTAAGGGACTGGATCTTAATAAAGATTCCATTTGTACCAGCGTAAAAATCTTCATATGTTAACAAACAGCAACTACTCTACGTAAATGGTGTTTGACATTGCATACACCTGCTTCCAATAACTTTGAAGCCAAAATTTTGAAATTAACCTCAAAATTTTTACTTTAAAGTCCTCTTCTATGCTTTCGTAAATTTTAAATCAAAACGAACTTTGGTTACAAAGCCACCGGACTAAAAAGGTCAACCTAAAAGAAAAGCACGAACGAGTTCATCAATATCTTTCCAGTTCGGCAGTTCTTTTTTTCCACATCATAATAAAATTAACTTTAGAAGGAAAGACGGGGCGAATGGAAAGGGGGTGAACGCGCGGGGGCGGGATAGGGCGGTAAATGGCAATCATTTTGCAGGAACTGAAACGGAACAGAACGCTTGTGACACAATCTGGCAGACGTGTTGTGAATCTTAAATTCATTTCACAATGACGTTCCGGATTCTGTTGGAGGAATAAAGAATCGGTCTTATTCACTTCTTATATTTCGGAATGAACGAGCCGTTTTTTGTCAGGGCTGCTTCAACGATCGAATGGAAAACAGCTCAACTTGTATTTACGTCTCTCTTGACAAAGTAAACCGTTTAAATATAGTACGGGAAATTTTTCAATTCTGTCCACAATGTATAAAGCCATAGACAATAAGAAAGCGTGCCTTGGCATTTTTATTGATTTACAAAAAGCCTGTAATACAGAGAGCTATGCATTACTAATAAATAAAATTGAAAAAATAGGAACTTGGGGAATAAAAATTTGCAATCTCGGCACTTCAGCAAAAGCGGAAAAGAAGTGCAGTACGAGTGGAGATAATAAGACACAAACCAGGCGCGTAGATATTTTAGGAAATAATTCTATTGTTAGAAGTTAAATGAAATAAATTGTTTTAAATGAGTTACCACCCTGTATATTATAACACCCTGTATAGCCACTTTACAAAACACGTGTTAACATGGGTTTATTAAATAATGTTTAAAATCTAATTAATTTAGAAACAAAATAAAAAATGACTTTAAAGGGCAATAATGCGTGATCATTCCGTTCTCTCTTGGATATTAGAGAGTTGAAGTGATGCTATGTGCGTAAACGTGTACGTGAAAATTGACATCTACGCATGGGTATTCAAATATCCTTCACGTCGACGTCTACATACATACGCAAACTTACGGGCTCTGGCGTATGCACGTAACGCAAATAAAATAAGCTTTTTTTAATTGGGAAAGAATAAATCATAATATTAATTGTCATTATCTGTCATGGTACGTAAATGTCACGATGCGTTTAACAACTTCAACTCATATTTTGAACTTCACCGTAATAGTTATTTATGTATCAAGGGCGTAAAACAGGCGTTTATGGATTGCAACGTATAAGTAAGAGCCCGAGCCGCTAGGCGAGGGCTATTAACACGTAAGGTCGATAGACGCTGTTTACGCCCGAAATACATACAATATTTTATGCACGACCGTTTTAATAGTCATTTATTAATAAATATATAAAATTTTATGCACGACCGTATTAATGATAGTTTATTAATAAATATGTTTTATTTTCTATTTTTCACCTTTTGTGAGTAGGTTATTATACATGTTTCAAGTTGGATAAATTTTATACCTCGATATTATTATAACTTACCCTGTATAACAATCTACCAAATCATTTGTATAGTTAAATAAAAATAAGTCTTATTGAAACTAATAAGATGATAAAATAACAATAATCTATATATCTATACGCGTTACCATAGCAACCAAGTCAATAGAACAAGAATAGGTAGACGCCATTTTTATTTACAGTCGACTTCACG